TCCAGCTGCACAAAATATTTTCAAAAAAATCTTTTTGTAAAATCTTTTTCCAAAACGGCAGCTCGAATATTTCGTACAGTGAACCTGGTTCCCCAACCTGGTTCCCTGAATTGAAACATGTTATGAAACCTGTTCCAACTTTGTACCAGATTTCATATCATACTTCAATATACTTTTAAGCACTTATATAACCCAAACATGCAAGCATACTACGGAGCATATTACATGAAAACCTAGATAACATATTAAAGCATAAATCGTCTTTTCTTCATGTAATCTTCAAGACTTGAATCTTCCTTGAATACTTCTATTATGAGCAAACAATCTTTCTTCGAAATATCTTCGAAAGGCTTCTATGCTCCAAGTCTTGGAATCAACTCAACTACTGCACATGTAACATGGTTAATGCACAATAAAGAGTATGTGACTGCTTTTCCGCATAGCAGTCAAGGAAACGGTTCATACTGGTTCCCCACCAGTACATAGCACATTTATCATCTAACTGTTTCCTGTATATAGATAAGTTAGTTCAATAGATAACTCATATAATCAATAACTTATCTAGGAAAACAGTGTTCTATTTTAGTTGGTTCCCCCAACTGTATTGAACACTTTCAAAGACCTGTTTCCCTTAGCTGTTTGTCATCATTCAAAACTATCAATCAAAACCTAAGGGACTCAACATGCGTCATGTTTGCGCCATGCAATATTTAGCTAAATATATACACCACGAGTTGCGAGTATGAAATATTACATAATATATACTTGTATACGTTTTGAAAGAGATTGACACCAAATCCATTGAATTATACGCTACCTAAGAAGGATAATATGTTATGGGTTCAGCCCAATTGGTGGTAAAATGTTTTTTGTATTTGGCTCTTTTTACTTGGTCAATTTTTATTACATTTTTACTAGTTAGTAGTAAGTCCTTTTGGGCTTATTTTTTTTTGGTGGCTTTCTTAGAAAGCTTTGGGGTAAAAAATGTTTGTGAGATTAGGGCAGCAGCCAAGTGAAGTGATGAGAGGATTCATTCACAAAAATTAGAACACACAAAAGAGAGAAATAGAGAGAGTTTCATTCTCGGTTTTTCTGGACAGCCTTTACAGATCTGGCTGTTTCCGGAAATTCAACCGTTGGATCATCCTCAAATTTTGACAGCTTGTTCCTGACATCAAGGGATTCATTTTGGACGGTGGAGATCGTCGTTTGAGCTCTGGTTTGGTCATAATCGTCCTTGGACAGAAGTGCTGTTTTTGGGTGATTTCTACTCCTCTTGTTCTCTATTTTTCATCTCTTGTTGTTTGTTGTTGTTGGTGGGTGTATAAACCTTTTGTAGACTGATTTGGGTTTATTTTACCCTCAATTATCAATAAGAGAAGTTAGGGTGGACTCCTTAACGGTCCCGTGGTTTTTTATCCTTCACATCGAAGGGGTTTTCCACGTAAAAGTCTAGTGTGTTGATTATTATCTTTTCTTCCTAGTATTGTTGGTGCTATTGCTATTTTGCTACTGCATTATTGCTGATATTGTGTGTGGTTATTTAGTTGTGAAATAATTTGGGTTGATTTGTTTGAATTATTGGTTGATTGTCTTGAGTTGGTGATTTTGTGAGAGTCGTAGTGACCTCTTCCGATCCCTACATAATATACATTGAATTATATTTGTAGATGACTTTTCTTTCACACACTATAAACATTGAAAAAATGATTAAGTGATCTTATCTAGCTAGGTTTTCTCATTTGATGTAATGAATCCATTTCTGATCTTAATTGAAATCGATCTAAATATATCAATTCCATCTATAATCAAAGATAATGACGCAACTAATTAATTGTGTTTATTGTACACATTGTACATTTTATTGAAGATGGATTATTATATGTGCAACATATGCAAGTAGCTAGATAGGTGATGGAGACTTATATTCGCTGACTCAAGATCAATAGGTGATGGAGACTATATTCGATGACTCAAGATCAATGCAAGTAGATTGACCACAATAAAATTAAATTAATTACTCCTACATGTTTTATAAATCAGATAAGTCTTAAATTTGTGCTCTTATCTATTCATCTTATTCCTCGGGTGATATTGCTTGATTTTAGGCAGACTAAAATCTTGTAAATAATGGAGTAAAAGACCCTTGCTAGAGAAAACCTTATCCGATTCTGAAAATGGCTATTTTCTATTTTAAATTATAATCAAGAAAATTATTGAAAAGTAAGAGAGATAAGAAGGCAGACCTATAAATTACAGACCTAATTGCCTAATTGGCAATGTAATCTTAAATTAATAGTTGGAATGATAAATGATAAATTGCGAGGTTGGTAGTATATTGTAGTGTTTTCTCTGTGTTTTACACCTGCTAAGAAAAAAGGACTACAGGAAAAAAAATAAAAAGTATAAACCTATTAGGCTACTACCCACATGAATAATTTGTTACGTGATAGTAAACAATGATCATGATAATAAATTTATATTGTATTTTTGCAAGAGAATACTCATATTGCTTGTGTATAGTGATCCATTATATGTAGTAATAAACAAAGACATAGGATTTCTTTCTTAAAAAATAAATTTCATTATCATTAGATAATCGACCCTTTCTTTCTTGAAGGACCTCATGGACGGGAACTGATTGCAAAAGAAGGAAACCAGCCACCGAGCCGCATCAACATTACCTTGTGAAGAGGTTTGTTTGAAATCCAAACTTGTTCATCAAAAGTTGGACTAGTGAAAAATGTTAAAGATACTAAGAATGAATTTAACATAACAAAAACGTATCAAATTAAACTAATAAAGTTTTTCTTTCATCAAAACTACAATAATTATATACGTTTTACAATTGACACGTCCCTTGTAAAATCTCATCAAAGAATCAATGAGTAACAAACTAAACTCAAATTTCTCAACTTAAAATAAGCCTAGCCGAATGTAATAAACAAACAAACAATTGGATTCATCCACATAGAGGTGTCAAAACCACACCCGACCCGATTCGAAATCGACCCGAAAAATATTCGATTTAGATTTGGACTCGTATAAACATAATAATTTAGCATGACTCAACTTTAAAAATTGACCCGACCCACCCGATCTCATCAGACCCGATCCGATCATTCAAATTGACACCTCAACATCCACATTCCGCATCCCTACATTTTGCATTTTTGCAACACCATACACCATTTGTCCATAATAGTGTTTTATAATTTTGTTGGCAGAAAATCAACACAACACACCAATAAGCCCATAAAAAAATTGTAACAAATAAACAAATCCAAACAAAGCCCACAACCAACCTTAACAAGAAACGACCCAAAAACCCAATAAAACCTCTCTCTTCAAAACCCTAAAACCCCTTTCTCCCTGTCTTCATATAAATACATGCTAATCATTTCTCATAATTAACCAAGTCGACGCCATGAATCTCCATCTTCACACCTTAATCTGAAAACCCTAATTTTATTTCTTTCTATCCTTTTTTTTATTTTTTCCTACAAATTCATTATATATGAATAATTTTATTGCAAAACCCCCAAATTTCTGTTATTTCTCTTCAATTTTGTGTAAATGAAATTGCTGGAAAAGCGGTATCTAGATTAATCCAGTGTTAGATGCTTCCTGAGACCAGCCAAATTAAAATTCGATCATCTGACTTGGTGGATGTTTTCTCTCTAGCAACCCACCGTTGTCCCGATCTGATACATTTTTATTGAATTTTTCTCAAAAATTAGGGTTTTTATTTTTCTGGGTTTTGATGATTTTTAAATTAAGGTGATTTTATTTTTTGGAAAATTGAATTTTGAAATGCTGGTAATGTAGTGTATAGAAATTTTAATTAAGTAAAAAAAACCCTTTCTGTACATCTCCCATGACCAGCTACATCAAATTATCCCAACCATTTATGCCCAAAATATTCCGGATTTTTTACCCTTTTACTACGGTAAAAATCCCTGTCCGGGTTGGGATAGTTTTACCTTTTTGTTAATTTAATGTTTATAGTTAGCCCGCGTTACATATAATGAAATTGATATCGTAGTTGAAACTGTGAATATGTTTGCATAGAAAACCAGACATTAGTCAAGTATCAGAATTAATGACTTAAAATCAAAGTAGCTGATACAGTTACGAGTCTGGTAAATTATAATTCAGGGTCTCATCGTTACAGATGTTGTTCCTTTTATGCTCACATCTGCTCCATTTGGAACCTACATTTTTTTTAAATAAATTATTTTGCAAGTTAGCAAGATTTTAAAATTTTACTGGTAAAAGGAAATTTTGATTCATAGAATCTGTTTGAAACTTTAAATTTGGATGTTTGGGTTTTATGTGGGTTGCTGAAACTCAAGAACTGTTAAAAGGACTCACATATAACCATTTATAATTTTACAGATTATTTGAGTAAATTAAAGTTGATTTGAGATTAAAATTGAAATCGAACAATGTATCTCTAAATTAATCATTTAATAACAGAATTGGATATAAAATGTATCAATAAGTTTGATAGTTCTTGGAATCTTAAGGAGTTTAAGTTTTTAATAAATATACAAGTATTTTCTTTAATTGGACACAACCTAACGTGAAAAAACTTATAACGCGGGACATTGCTCACGTTCGCCAGATTCTTCATAAAATTTTTGCTGTAATGTGAACAAAATATGCACGACTTGGTTATGGCATAGCAGCGGGTTTGGCTTCACGACATGTCACGACCAATGCAAGCGTTGCCAAAAGACATAAGCAGTAAGATGATAAGGCCAATATGAAAACCTACCTTCACACAATACACAAAGTAATTACTGTAGCAAGGAACATAAACAGCAATTAAGCACTAGGTTTGATTAGGTCCTATTCAAAACATAAATAATCGTAAACATGTACTCTGTAAAACGATATGTTCCAAAAGATTAAATGTGCTCTACATTCTTCAAATGATTCTATCTAAACATTCTTCAAATGAGCTTGCTAAATGATTCTATCTAAACAAGATCCAGTAACAGCAATGAGCTTTACATTCTTCAGATGAATTAAATGTGCATGTGAATGGCCTTCCTATACAAAATATTTTCATCCACCATGCGGTATATACAAGCCAAAATGGCAAATATTAACATCTAGTCTAGTAAAACAAGCCAAAATGGCGAGTACTATCTAGCAAAAGATCACCCCGTAATAGTGTATACACGAGAAAATCCAAAACGAATGTGTGTTAGCAAATCTTCTGTATAGTTCAAAATGTGCTGAAATGAAACTCACTAATCCTGTATGTACTTCCTAGCATTTTGCACACCTCTTTTACGCCTTTTAATGACAGGAATCTCTTCATCATCCTCCGCTGGTGGAGTTGACTTGTCTTGACCCTTTCCTAGGATAAGATACACAAATAATAAGTCAAAAGTGGGCATGCAAGAAAATACATTTTATTACACCCTCCATTTTATATTGTTCTTCCTACTTTTGACCATTGTCTTACAAAAAGATTCTGAGAAGAGAAATATGAAACGGAGGGAGTAAAATAAATTCCTGCAAAAGATTAAAAATGTGACAAAATTCATGATATCTACATATAATTCCAAGCAATTGATGCACCTCTTCTGGCCTTTTTAACAGTGGGAGTTTTTTCATCACCTTCTGCTGGTTGGGTTGACTTGTCTTCACCCTTTGCTAAAAGATAAAATACACATGAAATGTAAATCAAGATTGGATAAGCAAAAAAAGCACATTTAATTGAAAAAAATAATTCTGTAAATGAAACACAATCATTTCCACAATTCCACAAGCAGGTGGGCTGAAATTCAGGTTAAATGTTATTCATCAAGCACATATGAGAAAGCATAATCTTTCAGGCTTAAGATTCTTAGGTTGTGGTATGCCGTATGGGCGAGATCATGAGGAGTTTGGGAGCAAGGAGCACTTGAGTATGAGATGATGGAGAGGGAAGGAGTCAAGGAGGTGGTGAGTAGCAGTGGCAAGTGATAGAGGATGAGGGAGGAGACAGGATTTCTTCTAATCAAATACCTTGATTTATGAAAATGGAGTTATAGAACCCTCCCATTAACCCCCCACAGCCCACTCTCGTTCTACCACACAGATACAGCCAAACTGATCCATTCCCCTTGTGGCCTTAACTGCCATAAAGCACCCCAGGACTCAAGGTGTTAGAAACTAGCACAAATTGGTGCAGAAGGGACCCGCAGGCAATACAAAAAGGAGTAAGGATGTTCAACATAGTGTTTGTGTTTCGGCATAAAAATTATAACTTTGACTTCATGTTCTTAGAATAATCGGGCAACAAGGCCAGTAATTCAAATGAAGGACCACCATCCTTCATAACAAAAAGAAAAATTAGCCAAGGCAGGCTAAGTAGATACCTTCTGCTATAGGACTGGCCCTACCAATCTGTAAGCCTTCAGAGTCAGCAATTTTGCTTGGATCATGACCAGATGACCTCTTCAGCTCCACTGTGATTACTCCATGACCAGGCTTCTGCTCAGGCATTTCACATCTTCCATTGAAAGGATCCATGTAACAGAACCTGTTGCAATAGACCAAAAAGGGGGGAGTGAAGAAAAGAGTAAAATGCATTAGTAAGAGAACACATCATCAATATCGCAATACTTCTGCCTTGGATGCCAAGGGCAGGGTAAAATTGAGCCATACCATTAATAACATTTGTAAATTTAGGAAAAGAGCCTGATTCGTCTTAGTTTAAATCCTACTCCCTCCATACTTGAAATATTGTCCCATTTGTCGCATTTAAATTGATTAGGAGTTGTATCAAATGGGTAGGTAGTTTTTCCTTTTGCATGTGGTGTAGTAAATAATGCACAAAGACGACTCCCTCCCCCCTCCTCAAAATGAGCAATAGAGAGTTTGGAATTGTAAAGCCAAATATATGTATCAGTTTATCATCACACCTTCAGCACCATGGTACAGTTTATCAGAATTTTTTTTCCTTATTTTTGTTGTTAAAAAATTTGTATTTATCACTCACGCAATTATGCAAGTGTCATCCCTACAAAGACAACTTACAAAAATTTGGAGCAGTTAAATTTTGAAACTTTGACCATTCTCATGAGCGACAGGAAAAGCAAGAGAGCAGAATTTTGATTACTCTGTATATTCTAATTCAAAGAAATCATTAAAAGAAAAATACCAGTCTTTAGGTAGATTCATGCTGTCAAAATCAGCATTTAATAATCTCCACTTCCTGCACTTGTCACACTGCACCCATTCATTATCAGGCTTGTATCGAGCATGGCCTTTTTTCTGACAAATACAAACAAAAAAATAAAAGCAAGTTATATGACCTAAACTGCTGAAAAATCTCATTGGCTTTCAAGCACCACTATATGTCTATACATACTGTCAGCAATTTAGACAGTTGAGGGTTGATATAATAAGTAAACTTAAAATGAGCAGTAAACAAGCAATGCAACAATTTTATCTGGTCACATTGCTAAAGCAATACAGAAAACCAGGTAAGTAATACTTCTTAGATCTTAATGCAGCGTAGTTGAACACATAGCACCTCACCAGACAATACTATTAACAGACAATAAAAAGACCAAATAAACTTGGCTCACAATCTAAAAAATGCTACATTACCAACAAAAAAAGAATTATCAAAATAAAAGGAATGACTATGTAATAACTCTTCTTCCAATGAACCTTAAGCACCGACATCAAATGATCATTATTGTCATTATTTAACCACATAGGCTGACATTGAAACCCATCAAAAGTGTATAAGGCTAATAGCAGGTAAAAGAAAGAGCTTTGTTTGACTGCTTTTTACCTGACCAGTGTCAGTCAGCTGGCACCCCAACAATTAGCTACAGGAATATTCATTACTTGGGGGTAGGAGTGTTCAACCTCCCCCTAACCCCCGGGAAAAATCCAAAACCCATCTGCCAACTATATAGATCGGAGAGAGATTAATGGCCACTGGAAAGCCTAAGTTAAGTTGCTCCAAGGCCATTCATAGGCCGTCATGGCCCATTTATCTATACCACTCCTACATCTATAGTCTTTCTCTTCCTCACTCTTCCTTTTGTTTCTGATCCTACAACCTTCACCTTTAAAAACCCCATCAACAAACCTTCCCCAGAAAGGTTCAAGACTTATTTCTGCCATAATCTTATTGCCAGTTTTAAAATAGCCAACACAGCTAACAGGAGGGGGGAGGCCGGAACACACAACCCTACAAAAAAAAAGAAGTGAATTCCGACATAGGTTTTGCATGAAAGACTATTTCAGTTGACACTAGATTTCAGTTGACAAAGCACATGTAGGGTTGTAGTGGTACAGCAAGGAAAGGAGGAAAAAAAAGAACACCAGAGTGACTTAGTGGCTTTATGCCCAACATTCCACTTGGACCCCTAGGATTTGCAAAAGACAACAATTGCCATTACTGAGGTCCAAACTTCCACCTTGTAAACTAAGTTTGCTCCAGTTCTTTTTATCTCGATCGTTATATTAATCTATCCAAGAGCTAAAGCTTAATAAATTTCCAAGCCGCCTAATTAATAAGCACTTTGAACGACATTAAAAAAATGTAAATGTAACCATTGTTCATCTGGAATAACAAGTGTAGGCATAGAGAGAAAAACTATGCAAGCATAAAAGTAGAATATATATAGCATACCAGCTGTACTGGATCAAAAAACTTATCCCAGTATTCATCTGCCTGCTTTCCCAACCATTCTTCAAGCAAAGCATATGGCTCACAATCTTGGAATCCTTGCTTGTTGTTATGAACCCAAACACCACCATTCCCATCATCCTGAATCCAAAAGATGAACAAACGATAGTTTAGCAGAACAGTAATCATAATTTTTTTTTAAAAAGGGAAAGACAAACCTTATAAATAATGGCTGTAGAATACATGATTACATAATGACATGTACAGCATTATCAACATATATAATTGCTTGATATTGAATACCCAGAAAGAATCTCAGCCCACTAAGAAGATCCTTTTCTACCTCAGACAAGAGCGTCACCAGAAGCATTGGTGTAATGATATAAATTACGGACGGGGGGGGGGGGGGGCTCACCATCAATTCAGTAACTTCTACAACACCAATTACACCTCGACCCATATCAGCACTGTGAACCATGCCACCTACTCTCTTGTACGCCTGGAAAGAAAGAAAGACGGTAAGAGAGAGAATAAGTTAGCTTTTGGTTAAGGATAGAGGAAGAACGGGGGTGGGCTATACGGACTCGAACCGTAGGCCTTCTCGAGTTCTCGGTAAAACCGATCAAAGATCAGTAGAAAGTATAAATCTTACAAATTACAGTAGCTTTTAAGTAGATCAATAGTTTAGTCCATCAACCACTTTCTTGTGATTAAAAAAGCATGCAAAAGCAGGCACGTTCTCCTATTAAAATAAATTTTTCTCCCAAAATATAATTACACTACATTAGAAGAGGTAACATGTTATTACCTTAGGGGATTTAATCACAGAGTTTCATCTTTAAGCACATATTCAAACCAATGAAAATTATTTAAATAAGAGAGAAGTAGAGAACACATGATAATATAGTGATTAAAGACTATTTACATAATCTATTGAGAACAACCGATACATTGGCTACTTCTGTCAATGAAAGGAAACCCATCTTCTAATTTATTTCTTACAAGCTCCATATAAACTTTAAAATCAGAACGTAAAACCCCTTTAACAGAAACCATTCTATACAAACTACGAGATATATTGGCCAAATAACAGTGAACAATTCTACTTTATGTTCCTTCAAACCCAGGCATACACATTACCTGATTCCCTACCCCCCCCCCCCCTGCGAATTGAGAAAGGAACATTTAAACATGAATGTGGTACATTTTGCCTAAATTGACAATACTCAGTAGTGACTAAAATTCACATATCCAATCTCATACTAGCCAATTTGGCAACACTGTTCCATACTTTGCCATGTATCTATGCACATAGCCACCCACGCATCAACATCAACTCCTATTTGTTGATAAGAAAATATTGCGATGACATCTACCGCTATTTTTAGAGACCAACCCACACTAATATCACTTAATCCCACTAAAGCATGACATATACGATACACCCATAAAGTTGCAGCTTAACGATGATAAGGAAATGAGGAAGCATGCAATGAACAAGAATGTTCAGAAAAAAAATCCCCAGCCATCCACATTTAGATGAGAAAATGTTGCTGACCTCTATTAGACGGCCGTGCCAATATAAGAATATTCCACAGTTTGCCTCATCCCACTCTATCTGACAGCGACCAAGAGTAAGCCGGACTTGTTTGCCCATTATTTCCCCATTATGGTGAGCAGTATTATTAAGAGATTTGGCCAAGGGTCGACTTCTAACCTGTCAAGCGGAGTTACAATTCACCACTAAACAGATAGAATTTAATAACCCATAATAGCAAGAGAAAGTTAATGGAATTACCAGTGAGCCTTGAACATATATCTTCATCCTAGGCTCTAAAAATATGACTTCCAAATAAGAACGAAGTGAATAATCTAAAGAAACCTGGAAAGGAACGAAGGTGGAGAAAAAAAGCAATAAGTATTTACCGTAATCATAAAAGCATAGCCACATCTACCATATGTAAATTTGACCAGGTACGTCACTAATAATTTAGATATCAACATCGAAAATGAAAAACAGAAATATATTCCAGAAAAAGGCAAAGCATCTAATTTGATAAGTTACGATAACACAAAAAAGTTATTGTTAGACTAAAAGACAAAGCAAAATTTGCAAAACTGATCTTACAATCTGTTTAGTAATAGCATCAGAAGAACGAAATATTAGAAGAGAATGTGCTCCTAACCTTTCTACTTGTCTGCCCAGGACGTTTTCTTACACGTCTAGAACGAATATATATGTCACCCTGGTGAAAGGTGCTCCCACCGCGCAAGCCTGCTTGCCATTCCAAAGTGTACTCTGCGCCCCATTTATCCAAATTCCATATATAGATCTGCGTTCCTGTATTTCCTCTAAATAGGCCAGCCTTTTCACCAATTAAATACTCATTGAATGGTGAAAACTGCTTCATCGCATTCAGGTTGTACTTCGCTAGTGCTTCAGACTGTACACTTGTATCAATGTCCATGCACTGAGCTTGTCGACAGTAGCTGACAACAGGTATCTCCACATTCTGCATCGTGGGAAGACACATGCCGGTATGAAAAGTACCCACATAATACCCAGAAACTGCGCACACAGTATACTCAACCACAAAAGAAAAAAACCACACAAATATACATCACATAGTCCCTGGTAAAAATTGTGAACAACTCAGTAATGCCCATGGGCTGTAGAAGCGTCATCTTGAAAATTTAGTTTTGCGACTTGAGGCAGTTTCAGCAGGAAATTTGGGAAACTACGGTCTTTTTCTTACTTCCAAGTGCTTTTAGAGATAAGCTTTAAAATTGACCATAACTTATTCATACAAGACAAAGAGATATTCAAACATTTGCAGCTGCTGAAATTAGCATCTAATACAGTAACAACTCTAATAATATGTAGTAATAAATTATACGAATCTTGTTAATCCAACATGAACTCTGTTGTATTCAGCAAAACCTTTTATCTGATTCCATGACATATACACACAAGCAACACAGAAGAAATTAAGTTGACATAAAGTCACGGAATTAAAGGGGAGGGAAAGAGAGATTTGTGGTGGGGTACATTTTTAACTCCACGGCCCCATTTGATGGTTGCAAAAGAAAAGCAACATAACAACATTGTATACACACAAAGCAAGAGTCAGGAGTTTTACAGAGATTTTACACAGCAATAAAGTGGGTGAGGGGCAGGGGGAGAAAAGTTTGTGATGGCTTACGTCCTTTCCTTCATTTAATGATTGCGAAAGAAAAGCAACAGAACGAGAATGTGTTGTCTGTGTTAGGACTAGAGCATCTCTGCCCAGTCTCATTGACCCTGTCTGACAAAAAAAAAAAAAAAAACCTAGCATTAGATGACGAGGAAAGGTCCCAATACAAACTGACAAAAGCAAGAGATCCAAAAACGTTGAATGAGTTCATGAAACTTCATGAACATAAGCCACATAACAACCCTTAGAGTTCAATTAATATGATACTGCAGATAGTGCCTATTCACATTTCTGATGCAACAAAAACATGCTCCCTCATGGGGAATCCTAACTATCTACTTTATTGTGAATTCTGTCATTATCAAAGTCACCTGCAGACAAGAATGCATCAGGGAGCTAAAGCTACCAAGCAAATATTGAGCATACACATGCCATTCTGAAGTCCAACGAAAATAGAGTACAGCAGAAGACACAGTGGCTAGGAAGATCAGATACACATTTTGGCCCAAGAGAATCTCATCTACTGATTCATTATATTTATCTCTTCCGAAAGTTGCCCAAGGACACTGTAAAAGTAAAACAATTTGATGAAAAGCTTACCTTGAAACCAACACCAAATCTTCCAATACAATCTTGATTATCTTCGTCAGGTACTTTGTGCCCAAATGAAATCATCCTCAATATCTCTTGGTGATTCATTCCAACACCATCATCAATTACAGATAGCATAGGAATCTCAGAGCCTACAGTCTTATCAAATATAGTCTCAACAGCAATCTCTAGCCTGTTGAAAAATTCTTAAATGATGTTAAACATAGCAGATATTAGGATGCAAAATAGTACTCCATCCATACCTAAATAATAGGCCACATTTGATTGTGGTCATTTAGAGAAAATTAAGATATAATAAAAAACTTCCTATTCAAATCTTTTTAAATTTCCACCATAGCACATGATAGGTTTCGATTAAAGGATATAATTAAGGGAAATAGAGTTTAAAATTTAGAAAGTGCACAAATTTTGGGACAGCCAAGTAAAATTGTGGGCATATTAGTTACGGACACAGGAAGTTTTATATTCAAAGTAAAATCACAATCAATGACATTGCACAAAGTTATAAAATTCATAAACTTAACTGTAAGCTCAAGTTAACTATTGTTATTTCACAAAAAACGATTCATTCAACACAAACAAAAGATTAAATAAGGATGAATATCTGAAAGCAGAGAATTTCAACTGACCTTGATGCCCTTGCATCCCTTGAATTATCAACAAGCTCTGCAATTGCACCAAAGATCCAACCAGAATGAGCATGACCGAGAGTTTTCAGATAACTTGGGTCCGTAACAAAATTTCTTTCTGCAGCCACATCTTCCTTTGTGGAGCAGAGCTGAAGACTATTGTGCTCATGACACTTGGAAATAGAGGAACAGGTAGCCTTTTCAGCAGAACTACTTCCCTTCAAATAAGCATCTGACTCAAATGCAACGTTTTTCATAAAATGACGTGGAGAATTGGAAAGCAATAATGGGTTTTTTACTTCGTCTTCAAGCATCAACCGAGTACTTGGTAATGGGGTACCCGGTAATGGGCTCATTGCCTTTACTGCAGCTTTATGCATAACTGTAAGAACCACAAACTCAAATTAGTAACCACAATTACCTTGAGCTTTAAGCATAGAAAAATTGCTTGGAAAGAAAATTGTACTAATTCCATTTCCTCAAGCAATTTGATGGTTCGTGCATGAAGAAGGAAAAGGGGAAGCAGATTGTTAGTAGCTTGAGATATGTTTTGTAAGGTTCTTAAGTTCTTTGAATTCTTTTACGACACTTGATATAACTTGAGATATGCTCTTTATTTTAAGGACCAGAAATCCATTCGTAATTTTGCAGCAATAATCACGAATCATAATTTTCCCTGAAGTATAAGTTCACAGTTCTCTAATTAGGCATTTCTGAGTACGACAACTTAATAATTTTTCCTCAAGCATTTACCTTGAGCAGATACATCCTTGGTGTCAACTAATAATAATTATTTTATGACATATCAATATATGTGTTTAGATCTGATGAGAAGTATGCTTAATGTGAGAAGCGTAAGAAGTTCAGGTACATTTAGGTGTCACTATGATACATCAAGCATACATTGTGGATATAATAATCATACACTGAAGATGCATTATGCATGCCTAGGAAAAGAAAATGAAAGCAACTCTGTCCATCTTTCTCTATGTTCTTTTTGATACTAAATTTTTTAAAATCGACATCCCACTGTTTATAAGCTCCGAGTAAAGGAATTTATGCATATAAATATCCAACTTCATTTAAATTCTACTCTCTTTTACAGGTACATTAAGGATCAATTACAGATGCATTAAGGAGCCATTATAGATACATCAAACTAAGGGTACAAATACACCAGATTATCAGAAAGATGTCATCTATAACTAGAATAAAGTATTTGAAAAAATCCTTAAAGCCAATAGTTAGTTTAAATAACATTAAAAGCTATTTCAGATCTGCTAGTCCACAAACAAAGCTCAGATTATTGCTGCTTCGATAAACCAATCACACCAGCCACCAAAGTATAAGTAGGTTAAATGGAAATACAAACAATAATAAGATCCAAAAGCTTGATGCCGAAAGATGAAGATAATGGAGAGGAGAGAGATGAAATTGATTGAAATTTGAACATGCCATTGTTGCAGCTTCAATGAAAAAGCCAATGGAGAGTGAAGAAATATCGAATAATTTAGTTCAAAAAGATTGAAACTACTAACACAATGTGATTCAATTGATAGAAATATGACAGATGAAAAAAGAATAAGATTCAATTTGAGAGAGAGAGAGAGAGAGAGAGAGAGAGAAAGGCATAAACATGAGGAAAAAGCCATAAATTAAAGAGAGAAGTGATCCATCAAAAAGTTTCCAAAGGCTTGTAAAGTTGTAAGTTATGCCCCGTGTTTTTTCATAAAAAAAATGCTTCAAAATCTTTTGATCTTGACTACAAATATCTATATCTAATGATTGAGGTTACTTCTCACCCTTCTCATTATAAAAGATACATATATATATGGAGGGTGGTGACTAAGAGTAATATGAGTCTTTGAATAAAGATTTGTGTTCATTAGGGTGGAGTGGAAGAAGAAATTCTACACCAACAAGATGTCATGGGCTCATGGCTTACTTTTTTATTTTTGCACCTAAACTCATTGTGTTTTGCAAACTCTATTAATTTCTTTGGTTAAGGTTTCTTGTAACTTTATTAGTGTTTTTACTTTGCATATTTTTGTCTCTTTATACATCCCCTTGCACCTCTTTTATAAAACTTTCTCAAATTTTTAGTTTATATCCTACTTTTGGGTTTTCACTTTACACTGCCATCGTTTTTATTTTGCACACTATTTTTTTCCCGTCCCATTTCAAAATTTCACTTTTCTATCTTTGTTACATTTATTGCGGACAGCTTATTATGACGATTGATGTTAATCGACCCCTAATCATTTTGGGACTAAGGCTTCGTTGTTGTTGGAAAAAGACAAAAAAAAAAAAAAAAAAAAAAAAAAAAAAAAAAAAAAAAACCCTTATCATCCAAGGTCAAAGAGGGAATAAATATCATGCTAGGGAATGAATTTCAGGCTTTCTTTCACATAAATCTAATCAGAACATGTTAGATACTTGGGGAGATCTCACCTATTGTTGCATGCCTTTGGTCCACAGAGGTGTCACATAGTTCCTGCAAATCATAAGCCACCGTAGCATGGGAAAAATACAGGCCATCATCTGTTACATTAGGCTCACGTTGAGATGGAATTACATGAATCTTCATGTTTGCAAGTTTTACAGTAGCAACCTTCAAAACAGAACAGCAGAACATCATTACGCATACTGATTTTAGGCTTAATATGCTTTTATCACTCTTGAAAAATCTCCAAGAAAGTCCGCATAAGCACTTTTATGTTTTCAGTTACCAAAAAATAACAATACATGGCGCTTTGAAAAAAAGAACTAGTTAATTGGCTCTGATTATGCCTTGATTAGTTGCTCTAATATAAAACTAAAATTTCATTTCATGTTCAAAGCTATAACTATACAGATACACATAACATGATAACATAATAGCGTAAATTTTTTATATTATTGAAAGTAGCCAAATGGAGGAATGGGAAGAATGTTACAGAAAAACAAATGTTGTCTATGGTAGCTGTTTGAAAAGGCCTTTGTAGGGGAACATGTTCCATAACAAGAATGCAGGCCACAAGAAAACATAAGGTAAAGCAGTGAAACACTAAGTTTAGATAGATAATTGGCATCAAGGCGTCCAGTCCACTAAACATGGAATTCTTCTAAACTTAATGTTTCACTAAAACATGGAATTCAACTACATTGGAAAAAAGCCCAGTCCACTAAAAACATGGAATTCAACTACATTTGCCCAGATGGGATTCCAATTGAGATGTGGGTATGTTTACACTTAAGTGTTGAATGGTTGCTAAACATCTTCAACAAGATTTTTAAACAACAAAAAGCTAAAGAAATGGAAAAGATCACATTATTACCAAAATTTCAAACTATAATGAAACAAAACTAATGCATTAGATCATGAAATATGATAATTGGGTGTAGATGGAGGAAGTGGGTGAAGGTGCCTGGACATTAATTCGGGATTAAGCCTAAACGAAACAAAGACACTTTGAAGTTGATCCATGCTTGCAAGTAGGAAATCAACACCGTCTACTAGAAGGGGAAAGTTTATCCAAACAAAAAATAAAATAAAAACATAACTATATACATATATTTTAAGAGGTAATGCTTACTTTATTATAGCCGTGAAGGAAGTTAAAAAATTTATTCCATTCAGATTTCTGATCTGACTCATTTTTCTCAGGTGACGGCATAAATGATGGAAAAAATTGGAAAGTTTGGCAAATTAGGAAGGCCTTCTACTGTTTTCATCTTAACTATATCCACATTCCAAGAGGAAGACCTGCAAGTTAGAAATAAAATAGTAATTACCAGAAAATCTACATTCCAAAGAAATTTTCAGAATTATTGGTGCACAAAAAGGAAATAACTATGAGTAAATCAGCCTTCTTATAGCCACAATAAAAAAAAAATGATAAATAATGAGTAGGTATGAGCAAAAATAGCAAAGATTACAATCACATTCCTGAATAAATTTGTCAAAAACTATATAAGATGATAGATAATTGCATGTAAAGTGAAGATGTATAATTGTTGATGTACATGCTACACATTCTTGGAGGTATTGTATTTGCATATACACTCTACTGAAGCAATGCATTTCACTTATATGGCAAAGCAAGAGTCGCGAATTTTCCTATATCTGCCTTTCAAGATTAAGATATGCCTAAGAGAGCATTTTCAACCAAAGAAAAAGGCCATTTAACAATCTTTTAAAAAGGATCAGACAAGCCTTCAATTTCAAGTGCATCTCCAATATCCAAAACCAGAAGGAAGAACAAGCGTTGATAGACCAATAGCACATAAATCAGACCATCAAGTTGGCCCTAGATTGGATTATCTATTGATTAAAGTGGAATGACTTGGCTCAACTTTATTATGCATCACAATAGGACGCAGACTAAAATCATCATGACATGAAAGAAAAATGCACATACACTTGAATAGGAGGATTTGTGCATTTAGCATAACAAATAAATTTGCCATCTTTCTTCAATTTAATGTAGCATGATGAAGCATCTGCAAAAGCCACAGACAAAGCACAATTAAAAATATCAGAAGTAATGAACAAGTGGATTATAAATATGCCAATCTAAAGATTGGTGTTTCAATAGCTCAAATTTCTTATTACTTAGTAATTTCATTAAATAATATTGATGAATTATAGTTTCCAAGAAATCAACTAATTTGATCCATATTAAGACTTACCTTTCTTGGCAGAAGAATTGGCCTTCAATTCCATCATTTCAGAACCTAGTGAAAGGAAAAATAATAAAATTAAGTAAAATGATTAGAAAACAAAATTTCAACAAGACAAAAGGTTTCTGCCAAGAGTTGCTTCTAGGAAGAAAATTTAACATACATACAAACAAGCAGAAGCTTAGTAGATAAATGATAGTAAAGAGACATTAATAATAACGCAGTATTACAAATAATAACTTAAACATGTGAGAAAAGGAGGTGGAAATATGTGTAAATGATAAAACTATAAAAGCATACAACCACTATAAAGCAGAAAGAACTAGGAAGAGCCAATCATTGCCACCACTTCTTCCGGCTCCACCTCTTGAATCTTACACAATTACACAAGATTGTCATAGATTCATAATGTCCTCTTAAAGGCACAACATCTTGTGAGCTTTAACTGAGATAAATCAATGAAATCTTCAGATTTTTCATCAAACTTAAATCGGATTGATACTGAAAAATTATAAGTCCGCTTTCAACGTGCTTAAATTCTTAAATCTCAACGTTTCTACAACAAATAAATTCACATCAAAACTCCATACACTATTCCATAATTTAGTTCGAAAGCCTAGCACGTAGTATATAACTACATACACAGGAACAATCTTCATTCTTCAATTCTTCATCCTCTCTTCAAGGCTATTACTCTCAATCAACTACAAATACAATTGCATGGAACAATCATCAATTCTCCATCCGCTTTTCAAAGCTATTACTCTCAACTAACTACAATTCCATTTCGCTTCTCCGTTGTGATATGAAGAACATAAATGAATCAGGCCTAATCCATAACATTACTTCATCCACCACAACAAAAACCACGACGACCGACAAAAGGACTAGAATTACACATTTGAACCATTCAATCGAAAGCATAAATTCAATCATTCATTCAGCATACACTTTAAAAACAAAATATTACGATCACTCCAACAAATATAACAAATAAAAAATTAAAAATAAAGCAGAGTAAACACACTACATTAACAAATATGACACAAAAACTTCAAATAAACCGACATTGATCACAATTCAAAGAGCACTACTCCACTACAATCACAGAAATTTAACAGAATCAGTTAAAACAAAAGACAGAAGATTTATCTACAAAATGATGTACTGATAACACTCAAAAAAAAAAAAGCATATATTGAGTACGAATTACACAAAAAAAGCGAAAATTCTCCATAAGTATTACCAGTACAAAATTCAACGCTTTGCAAACCCTAGAAATGCGAAAAAAATGACGAAATTGGCGAGCAATGAAGGTGATCGTAGAGAAGAAATTCAGTAGAGAGAAACAAAATACGGTTGCAGAAGTAGAGAGAGAAAGAAGAGAGAGAAAAGCGAAGAAATGTTAGAAGCAGCGAAGAAGGAAGAGAGTAGACATGAGTGGTAGGAAATAGCAAAAATGCAGTTGCAGTAGCAGGGGAAAGAGCAGAAGAAAATGTGTGAGGCGAGGGAGTTGGAAGTGGAAGTGGAAATGGAAATGGAAATGGAAATGGAAATGGAGAATGGAGAGAGAATTTTGTGTGTGTATTTTTGTCTCTTTGACTCTCTCCACAAATACAATTGCCCCAATTGGCGTTTTGTTATGTCGATGTTATTTTCGCCTTATTCTCATTATTAAGGTATTTAATAAGAGTACTCTATTTTGCCACTACGGTAATGACGGTTCCACTCGAGGTTTTGATTACCATTTACCACCCCTAAAACTTTAACTACGTTGTCAAACAATGAAAATACCATGTAATAGAGATTCTAAGGTTTACATTAAATAATCTCAACTTTCAAAATAACATAAAAAGGGACAAGATAATAAATGTGACACTTGAAAAAAGATAATGATAATTAAGAAATATTAGATAATGGTATAATTTATTCTAATATTTCATATTAGTCTTTTTTTTTCCTGCTCACTTACTTTAATCCCACAATAATTACATATTTTCATATGCTCTTACTTTATCCACATTTTTCTTACACCTATCCACCTAATTGAAATGCTTACCTATTTTTGACAATCTTGTAACTTTTCACACCTACTTTATTCATAATTGGGTCACTCTCTCTATCTTCTCTTATTATCTTCCATAAAATAAGTTTAATTTTTAATTAACTTAAATCCACACTCTGTACTCTTACTAGCATTGGGTCAACCACAAGTATTAAATGAGGAGTCTTCATTCCTCCATTCTATATGATATAAGATGTGAAGTTAGCGAACTTTAAATTTTAAAATGCTAAAGAAATTGAAACTCTGGCTGTAAGCATAATCCATTTAACCTTAGTGGCTTGGTGTAATTAACCCATAACACCACCTATAAATCTGTGATTACTTAAGGTCTCATGCTTACATAAATATTACTTTTAACTTTTTATCCTACCACCCCTTGCCAACACTTTATTTACACTCGCTTTTACTTTTCTTTAAATAAAAAAACGTGTGAACCATCTGATCTAGAGCAAGTTAACAAAGATGTACCAAAATAAGTACTATTTCTAAGAGTAGGTAATTAACAATTAAAAAAGAAGTTTTCATTTGTGATTAAGGTCATGTCACATTCACAAGTGATACTTTCTCCCCCTCTTTACTGTGTAACTTAAAAAAAGTCCCACATCTTGTTTATTGGAATAGAAGTTATGAACAAACATGCATGAATAATATATGAAATGATAGAATAGATAAGGATACGAAAACAATTTCAGCTTACCGCTATTCTTTTTTTCGCGTTCAACTTCTTTTTTATCTGAATTTGAAGGCTTTGGTTCTAGCTTCCTTGTAAGGTTAGCTTCAGAATTATCTTGGGACAATTTTGTTCCAAGCTCCTTTGTAAGATTAGCTTCTGCATTATCTTCAGACAATTTCATTCCAAGCTCCTTTGTAAGGTTACCTTCTGCATTATCTTCGGACAATTTCATTCCAAGCTCCTTTGTAAGGTTACCTTCTGCATTATCTTTGGACAATTTCATTCCAAGCTCCTTTGTAAGGTTAGCTTCTGCATTATCATTGGACAATTTTGTTCCAAGATCCTTTGTAAGTTTAGCTTCTGCATTACCTAGGGATGGATTTGTTGCAGGCTTCTTCGTAACCTTAGCTTCTGCATTATCATTGAAGGATTTTTTTGCAAGGTCCTTTGTAACATTAACTTTTGCATCATCTTTGGATAGTTTTGTCGCAAGCTCCTTTGTAGCATTAGCTTCTGCATCATCTTTGGATGGTCTTGCTGCAAGCTCCTTTGTAGCATTAGCTTCTGCATTATCTTTAGACGCTATTGTTTCAAGCTTCTTAGTAAGATTAGTTCCTGCATTATCTTTTGATGATTTTGTTTCCAACTTCTTTGTAAGGTTAGCTTCTGCATCATCTCTGGAAGATTTTGTTACAAGCTTCTTTGAAAGGTCAGTTCCTGCATTATCATTAACCGGCATTGTTTCCGGCTTCTTTGTAAGGTTAGATTCTGCATTATCTTTGGATAATTTAGCAGCAAGCTTATTAGTAGAGTCAACTTCTTCATTGTCCTTTGAGAATTTCGTTTCCAACACCTTTGGAGAGTCTGAAACAGAGGCAGGTGCAGTTCCTGGAAATATATTTCAGTTTTTATGTAATGTAATTCAAACATACATCCCTGGCCTATTAACTACAAGCAAAAACTATCAAAAAATAAAAAACTAACTGAAATATGTAAATTAGCAAAGCTGCAAACATTGATTACCTTCGAATGATAAGGAGACTTCGACGTACTACTATTAGTATGCCTTGCTTGTTTTTCAGGTGTACCACCAAACTTTGCAGAATTAATCATTGGTTTCTTGAAAAGATCTGTTTGAAGTAGTGATTCTACTACGCATGTTTGGTGATCTATCTTGACCACGTAAGTCACGTTCTTTTGTGCCCTCCCAATGCTTTGCATGATATTCATGATCCCTTCTTTGTATTTTCTTGGAC